ACACCATTTTGAGGTCACAGGGTCATGGTCACCCAAAAATGTTGAAGATCACACGAAAAACAGCACCAGCATCAGCAAATGTGAATCCACCAGAAGCATGTAAGTAAGCTGCAAGAGACAGGAGAAAAACAAAAAAAAAAAAAAAAAAAGAGAAAAAAAGGAAAGTTAGCAAATGAGTCTTTGGGGGCTGACATTTCACCTTTTAGAGTTAAAAGAAAAGAAGTCAAGAAAAGAAAAAAATGTATTTTCTTCTGTTTGTTTTTATTACAACTACAGGCAAAGAACAAAATCGACCCCATGCACCAACTATAGGATTTAGAGTTCTGGGATCCTGTAACAGCCTCAGGCAACAAGGGGTATGTGACTCAGCTCCCAATACAAAGAAGAAGCAATCTTTATGAAAAATCAATCTTTATTAAGTCTGTAGCAGATCACTTTCAGACAACACTGGCAACAGAACTTTGAAATAACCTACTGATCATTAGTATTTCCTAGGGTTTTAATGTCACTGATGCTATGTATAAAATAAGCCAACTGACTCTTCTAGACACACGGTGTTTGAAAATAAAATCCTGCATAACTGTATGCTGCTCTCATAAAGAAAAAAAAAAAAAAACCAAAAAAACCAAACCACAAGTATTCTCATTAGCCAGTAGGTTATAGAGGTTGGATTAAACACCTGAATGAACATCAGGTTAGAAAATTAACAGATTAAGATCAATCTTACTCCCTATTTCCCCCGCTACACCTTACTCACCGTGGCTCCCAGGTAAGGTCCCAGACCCATTCCTTTCATCAGTCTCTGTTTTTATTCCAGTCACTGGAAAGGCTGGTGGAGGCATCAACTGCCTGTGAAAAGAAAATGAACACTTCTCTCAGACAAACTAAAATTTTTAACTTCTCCAGTAGGTAAGAGAAGTTTAACAATGTTTATAGACAATCCTTTGCTCACTTTACCATTAATTATCCTTCCCTTGTCCTTGTTCTTCAAACCATTAAGCTTATTAACGTTATAAAGCCTGTCTACATAGTGAAGCCACACCAAAAACAGAATGAAGCACTGCAGGAAGAAGTTAGCTTCCTCTTATGAAGATAAAAGTAACAATCTAAGAAAGGAGACTTTAAACACTGGATGTCCTCCCATTCAAGTTTTTCCACCCATAGCAATTTGTGTTCCTAAAGCAGTAAAAATGCCAGTGTAACCCCTCTGTTACCATTGACTCAGGAAAATCGTGAAGATGGAGACAATAACGGTACAGTGGTACCTTGCTTCATGAACTTAATTCTTTCCACGAGTCTGGTCACAAACCAAATTGGATGAAAAGTGCATCAAAATCAATGTTAGGTTCAATGTTGATCTTATGGGGAAATTTGATTTGGTTCTTGTCTAGCGACCAGAATTGTGGAAAGAATTAAGTTCACGAACAGAGAGGTACCACTATAAATGCAGATGCTTGAACAAGTGAATACTGCACTATTCACAGCTGGATGTAATGTTTCTAACAAAGTGAAACACACTTAATTTCCACTACTGCTTCAATTACAACAGTTTATTTGATTCAAACGATGTCATTTCAGTTCAGAACACCGAAGCTCAGCTCGTAGCAATGATCACTATCCATACTAATGGTGTAGAGAAGTAACATATGAATGTATTCATGTGATTGTTCCTACTGACTTACCTGTCCCTCTCTCGCTCTTTGCCTGAGGAACTTGCTGGCTTCGATCCTGCTCCTTCGATCTCATTCTGACTGGAGAAGCCTGTACCTAAATTAGTCATATGAATGGGTCCATGCTATGAGCAGAAAAATACAGTGGCATTAGCAAATCTACAACTGCTGTATTGACTTCAGCTCCTTAATGTAACTGTCAAGTGTCTCATCTTTCTGATAAATTGAAATAAATTAAACTGTACTACATACGCTGGGATTTGGTGTTTAGTCAAAGTAGGGATTTTTCTGTAGAGCTCAGGCATGCTGTACCTCTATGCTATGCTTTCAACTGATTGGCCATAAGTCAACTGTTTTCTAAAAGCCTAGTTTTAACTATAAAAATGCTGTGACTTAAGAATTCCCCAAGGGTTCTGACAAGATGTAAAGGTGCTTCTGATAAAATTGCACCAAGCATTTGAGGTGTCAGAGACTAAACCCAGGGGCTCACGTGCTAGGCAAGGGATCTACTAGAAAGCTATTATACCAGACCTTATTCTTCTGGCAAGTTTTTTCCTAGGACAGGGAGCTAGCAGGTAAGAGGTTCTCAAAAAATCATTCTCTCTCTTTTTTAAAAATAAGAGCCAAAGGGAATAGCAAATTAAGTCAAAGGGAAACATATATAGGTAGACTGACAGCTTCTTGTAATATATGTAGAAAAGACAATCAGAGGCGTTCATGAGTCTACTGTATCAATACAGGAAACACAGAATTCTTGATAAATCCTTCCAGACGTTAGTTATGAGACTTCTCTCTAAATGGAGCTCTGTAATTACTTATCACAATGATCCCAATGACAAAATCCACTCCAAAGAAATTAATTCTTCAAGAATAAAATCTTAAGCTAAATGGATTCTAGAAAGCAGAAATCTTAGTACTAGGATACTTGATATAGATGTAAATGTATCTTTCTTTAAAGGGAGAATAAAGTAAGAGGGTAAGACAAGGAAAGGAAGACAGGGTATTTTATTTAACCTGATAGCCAAGAAGTCCAGATTCCCGTTCATCTGGTAGCTCCTCTGTGAATCGCCTCTTCTGTGCCTGGGGCTGCGATGGGAGTGGTGGCTGGGGCTGGGGCTGGGGCTGGGGCTGAGGGCCAGCAGGCAAGGCAGTTTTGACAGGAGCAGCAGGAATAAAAGGACCACTCATTGGACTCTGGGACCAAAACAAACCACAGAGGAAAAGAAGTGTGAGGCTGTCCAACTAATGACTGACTAAATGATCAGCAAGTGCTGTCACGATCAGTATGTATATATTTTTCAACTTCAGGGCCTTCACCTCCTTCCTATATACTCTGGCAACAGCATCACCTAGCCTTCCCACCTTTATCCCAGGGAAACAGGAAAGTGACAATCTACAGACAGTTCTTTAACTTCCCAGGAAAAACCACTTGTGCACTTGGGGTATTAAGAATAAACATGAACATTAATAAACAATAAGAACTCCAGCCACTTACTCAGTTCAGAAGCCTCTTATTTAAAGTTCTTTCATCAATGTGATTAGCTCTTTCTGTACCACATACACTGTTAATGCTTGTGGCAGAGGCAACTTCATTTACTATTTCCATGGTTACTGAATTACCATATCAAAAGTCTGACTAGTCTTTAAGAGGTTATTCCAAAAAGGCAACAGGGGGATTCAACACACAGTACGTATTAGAGAAAAGTAAGTACATATAAAGGAATTACTAATGAACAGCTTTTACTTTTCTTTTTTTTTGAGATGTGGTCTCACTATTATATATACAGTGCAGACTAGCCCCAAACTTGCAGCAACCCTTTAGCCTCAGCCTCCTGAGTGCTGGGATTACTGATGTGCACCACCAAGCCCAGTCTCAAATATTTACTGACTGCTTGATTCATCTTAATCAGTATAAACTTTTGAGATTTTTATTATGTCCATTTTTACATCTAAAAAAATTCAAACCCTAAACAGGTCCAATTATATCCCAAGATTACACAGCTCAAAAAAGGGAAAGCACGATGAACTCTAGCAAGCTAACTCTTAACATCCCTGTGCCGTACTACCTCCCAATTACAAAAGGCTGTAGCTCGAAGCTGAGGGCTACAGATTTTACTAAATGTAATTCTGACTAGGAATTACAAGCAGAATTTAGTTCAAATGCCCCGTTTTTGTGGTAGCAGGGACTGAATCCAGGGCCTTTGCACAGTGAGCTTTATCTCCAGGCCTTCGTCAATGTTTTAGGCAACTGCTAAACTAGTCTTGAACTTGAGATCTTCATCACTCAATCTGCTAGGGTATGGGGACTGCAGGTAAGCGCCACCACACCCAGCCCATATGCTGGGGAATACGCTGTTAGAAGCTGTGCAACCTTCTTCAGTGCTCACAGTCCACAGGCAGTGAAGCTGGGCAATGGTTAGAGGCCACCGTTACCCTGGCATGGGGTACACGATGAGAGGCCCACACACAAGGGCCCACCATAAATCCACTACCATGCTCTCAAGTCTCCCTGCTGTCTCCCTCTCAGTGAGTGTCTAACTCACCCAGATGAGCTAGGCACCTACTCTTTTCTAAAATTTCACTGTCTTACATAATTTAAGGAGTTATAAAGAAACCTATCAGCATTTATAATCCTTAAGATTAGAAAATTCAGGGCCAGGGATACAGATCAATGGCAAGTGAAAGGTCCTGAGTTCAGTTCCCGGAATAAAAAAAAAATGATTAGAAAGTTCATCAATCTTAGGTTAGGAATATCTGTTTATGTAGTTTCTAAAAGCAAAACTGCCAACTCAGTTCCAACCAGTGAGAGGTATGCTACAGACCAGCCTCCCTTTCCCTGACAACTAAGTTAACACTGCAAAGCGAACAGTAGACAAACTATGCCCACAAAATGGCGAACAGGATTCTGAAACAGCACTCATTATTATAAATAAAGTTCTAGTGCGTACAGCCACCTCATTTGTTTACGCTTTGTCTATGGTTGCTTTGTTGCTACAATAGAATACAGTAGTTGTGCCATTCTACTTGACCCAAAAATCCTAAAATATTTACCATATGGCCCTTAACAAAAACTGCTGAACATTTCCACTTCCAACAGCTATTCGGTGCCGAGAATTTTAAAAGTAATTGTACACTTTAGGGTGATGTATAAACATGCACACACGACAAAGTACTCAGGCAGGCTCATCGTGGGAACATACAAGATGGCAGGAAAAAAACCAGTCACATGACATGGTTTGTATCTGGAATACCACCTGCCTCCAGTTTTCCCTAATTCCAATGGCAGCCATGTTGCAGACTCTGGCATCTTACCTGTCCAGTGCTAACTGGAGGTTGAACTTGTGTTATCGGGTATTGTGTTGGCACAGGTGGGACTCCGGTAGGTAAAGCTGGCAAGACTCCAGGTGCCAGTGAAACAGCTGGTGGCACTATGCTTGGTACTCCATAGGGAGGCTGAACTGGCTGCTGAGGAGGGGGAACAACAGGGTAACCAGACTGATAGCCATTGGATGGATAATATGGTGGCTGAGGAGGGACACTACTTATAGCAGAGGGTTGTGAATAGCCTGAGGGGGAAGAAAAAAAGTGTTTAATCAGCTGCAGCAGAATGAGACATTTTAGCTGAACATTAAACTTACTATCTACGGAAGAAAAACACTGAAGCACGAATGGCTCTCCAAATTAACCTAAGCTGAAGGGAACATTACCAGTAATCTGGCACAGTCTAGTCTCACACCTAACATCACTAGCAAAGTATTTTTAAACACTTCCAAACACACATACCTGGTAAGGGTACAGCAGTATTAATTTGATTCACAAATCTAGAATATTCAGCATGAACCTGGGAGAGAGGGGAAAACAAATTAACATAAGACAGTCCCAATTGACTATTTGTAACAGTCTGATGAAATAAATTTAGGGCTTGCCAGGCGTAGTGGTGCACGCCTGTAATCCCAGCACTTGGAAAGCTGAGGCAGGAGGATCAGTTTGAGTTTGAGGCCAGCCTGGGCTACAAAGTGAGCTCAAGGCCACCTGAACTGCATAGTGAGACGCTGTCTCAACGAAAAAAAAAAAAAAGAGGGCCGGGTGTGGTGGCACACACCTGTAATCCCCGCACTCAGCAGGCTAAGGCAAGAGGATCGTTGTGAGTTTGAGAGCAGCTTGGGCTACAAAGTGAGTTCAAGGCCAGCCTGAACTGCATAGCAAGACCCTGTCTCACAAAGACAAAAAATATAAATAAATAAATAATTTAAAAAATAATTTTAGGGCCAAAACTATTAAAATATTTTGGGGGCTAGGGATTTAGCTCAGCAGCACAGCGCCTGCCTGGCAAGCACAAGGTCCTGAGTTTGATTCCTGGTACTGGAAAAAAAACGAAAACAGAAAAAAAACAAAACAAAAAAAAACCGTAAAATATTTTCATTAAGCTGGGTGTGAGGACAAACTGTAATCCCAGCTGTTTGGAAGGCTGAGGCAGATGGACCATTGAGGTTTTTTCGGCTAGTGAGTTTAAGGCCAGCCTGAACTACATACTGACCCTGTGTCAAGGGGGGGCACGGTGGCACATAATTCCTGCAGATATAGCTCAGTGATAGTGCCCTCCTCGATAAATTTTCATTGCTGTCCTGACCTAAATATGAGTAAGACAAACCTGTAAGTGATTAAGCCAAGTTTTAGAAATCAGGAACATATATAATCCTAACATCCCCAAACTAGACTTAATTCTGGGGTTCAAAATCCTTCAGAAAGCCACAGAAGGTTTGCAATTAGGAAATTTCTAAACTACTAGTGCAACTAGTGAAAACTTGTTTGTATTTACTGGGTGATATGTTCTCAAAGGAGTTTCCAATTTCTCCAATCTGTTTTTATTTTTTGTCTTTTTTGAGACAGGGTTTTGTTATATAGTTCAGGCTGGCCTTGAATTCACGCTGTAGACCAGGCTGGCCTAGAACTGGAAGCAATCCTCCTGCCTCAGTCTCTCAAGTGCTGGGATTACAGGCGTGTGCCACCATGCCCAGCTCCAATCTGTTCTCTAATTCAAGGCATTTGACTAAATCTGTAACTTCAAGTACCAATAAACAAGATTATCAAGGAAATTATTTGATACAAGTGTTGGTAATCTGGTAATATGCACAAAAGCAAACATCAGCTTCCCAAAAAGGTCCCTTTAAATACCAAAGAACACAAGGTTCAACATAATTCAACCCGAAAGCTGATTTTCTTTTTTTTCTTTTTTTTTTTTTGGTTTTTCTCCGGTATCGGGAACCGAACTCACGACCTTGCACTTGCCAGGCAGGCGCTTTTGCCGCTAAGCTAAATCCCCAGCCCCTAAAGCTGATTTTCTTTAAGTGCTACCAAATAAGTCATAACTTTTTTCAGTGTTGAGGATATAATTCAGAGCCTTCCCACTAAGTTACACCCCTACTCTACACTCTCTATGTAGTTCAGGCTGGCCTCAAACTCCCAGGGATCCTCTTGCCTCAGTGCTGGTATTAGTAGCATGTGCCACCATCCCCAGCTGCTAATTGGTTAAAAACTGTCATAGCTCTACTACTGTATTCTTTAGACTGACAACCCAAAGAATGCCAACACAATCATCAAAACAAAGGACTCTCTCTCAAAGATTCCAAAAGGAGCTAGCGGTGAAGCTCACGGGTAGTGTGTGCTTAGTAAATGTGAGGCCCTGGGTTCAATCCTTAGTAGTAAAACAACATTCTAAGAGAACCAATAATCTTGCCAGGACCTTGATTTCAGACTCCTTTTTCCTAAAGTGTCACAAAATGAATTTGTATTCTTTCAGTCCACCCAACTTACGACATATTGGTATGGTGGCCCAAGAAGCTAATATAGGTAGATTAAAAAATACTCCAAAATAGCAGCAGCTCTTCTGAATGAGTACCAGACAAATGTAACTTGTTGGGGATAAAAGGAAGGATGGTTACCTCAGACATAAATGCATGCTTAGCATGTATAAAGCCCAGGGTTCAGTCCCCAGCGTACATACACATGCACGTGCACACGCATGCGCGCGCGCACACACACACACACACAAACTCACTGTTTGCAAGAGATTCTCACAGAGCTTCTTAGCAGCAGCCAGGCCTTCTGATTTAGGATGACTGAAAAAAAGTATCAATCAGGAATTCAAATATGAGGAAAAATAAAGGATGAAGAATTCTATATCCATTTTCACACGGGGTGTTTTTTTTTTTTTTGGTACTGGCAATTGAACCCAGGCCCTCTGCACTGAGCTACATCTCAAGTCTTTTCATATTTCCACACTTAAGTTGCTAAATAATTGAAGCTGGGCTTGACCTTTCAATTCTCTTGCCTCAGCCTCCCAGGGTGCTGGAATTACAGGCATATGCCACCACACCCAGCCTTCATGCTCTTTTATATCTAGCCTCTGGAAATCATAAAGTAGGAACATAAATAACATTATATAAGCCTTTTAACATGTAATTGGAGAACAAACAAAAAAAGCAAAGGTGGGCGTGTGGTGCACACCTGCGTACTCCCAGCACTCAGGAGGCTGAGGCAAGAGGACCACCATGGTTCAAGGCCAGCCTCAGCTACACAATGAGTTCAAGGTCCACCTAAACTGCATGAGACTCTTTCACCAAAGAAAGGGATATAATTGATATATAATTACCACAAATATTTTATTGGTCTGTTTGGGTAATGATGCTTCTTGATATAAAAACATTTAAAGATCATAAAATACACTAATATAGGTGTTAATGAAAGTTTTAATATTAGGCTTTTCACAACTCACTTTACGATCACAAACTTGTATAAAACTTAATGACTTGAACACTAAAGATATAATCATGCTTCCTAATTCAGTTATTTGCATCAATTACTTATAAAGTGATTACTCCCAGTATTTATTCAAATCCCTCATGCTGCTATTAAGCCTTACTCTTGTTCCTTCTGAATCATTCCAATCTATACAGACTAACGAAGATTTAAATGTCCTCCACCTCACCCGCCCATACCTGATGTAAATATACATAGGTTCGAAAGCTTCTCGGCCGGATGCTGGTTCAATGCAGCCTGAACCTTTGCCCCTCAGGAAGACTTTAGCACCTGTCTCAATCTGAATGTGCTGCAAATAGGAGCAGCCTGGACCTTCCACCTTCTCCTTGACATTAAATGTGGGCACAGCATGTTCCAGACCCACAAATAATTTATCTTGAACATAATGCATCTGTAAAAAGATATAACAGAGAATATAAAAATTAAATCCTAATCTTACAGAAATTACACAAAATATATTAATCCTTCAGATACTTTTGATCACTTCTAGAAGTACCCCTATAATTTCTACAGGAAACCCTATCAAGGAGTTTAATTTAAATAAGAACTTCAGGAGTGTGTGGCTCAGGGATAGGGCACCCGCCTAGCAAGCCTAACATACTCAAGACCTTGAAGGAAAGCCCTGAAGGAAATAAAAAAATAAAAATAAAGCCTTCCATGTTAATACATGTACCTTACCTATACAGACCTTATTCTGCTTAGCAAAAAACATTCACAAGGCAAAAAGCCTTGGATCTAGTAACGAGAATGCACACCCTTTTCCCTCCAATTAATGTTAAGTCATTCAAACAAAAATTATAGTAAAGACAACGTGCTGTAAACTGGAGTAGAATGTTGGGTAGTACAGTCAGCCCTGTGACTTTCTCCAATTTGGGCTGCTCTCTCCAACCCCTTTCTCTAGGAGGAGTGTATCAGCAAAGTCTTGCTTCATCAGACTCAGCCTTCTTGGTCCTCCAGTGGCCACCAGGTCTACAAATACAAATTAAACCACCATCTTCACATGGTGCAATGTGCACACTCTTTGACTTAGCCATCTCCGTGCTATGACATTTGGAAACATAGAGAACCCATAGCAGACCACCAACAGCAGACAGCTCAAACTGGAATTTCACTATTGCATTTTTTTTTCTTCATATGTACCTCTTAACATGGATCATTTTGATAGGAGTAATGAGCTCTGGCCAAAACCTACCCCTGACTGGAAAGGAGGCTTCTGGCTAACTGCTGAAGACAGCTGCGTAATTGGTGCTGGTTGGTGATAGACAGTGACTGTTGCGCCGTTAAAAGTTGGACTTGTCCCTGTCGCAGCCTTCACTACCCCGTTGGTGATAATTTCTTTGATTCGGTTTACAGCTCCTAGGAAGAAAACAAACAGTAAGATACTATACCAAAGAAATGAAAGTTCTAGTGCATGATAGGCCAGACCAGTGCTGTGATTCCAGCACTCTAGAAGGCTGAGGCACAAGGACTTCAAGTTTGAACTCAAGCTAGGCAACTTACCAAGACCCTGCCTCAAAAAAAAAAAAAAAAAAAAAACAACAGAACAGAAAGGTCCGGGATTCAATCCTTACTCCTACTAGAAAACACACACAAAGACACACACATACACACAAGGCCAATGCTGAATTTCTTAAGCATTAACCCATTGTTTAAGTTACCCAAACTTGTGACTTCTCACTCTCTAAAGCCCCATACACACTGGTACGTAATTCACAAACAAGAGCAGCCATCAGGTATTTATACACAGCGCGTGCTCTGCTCTTCACAAAATGTTATGTAAGCCAAAACATTACTTACTGTCTACCAGTTCCCGTGTCTGTCCCTGAACGTGAAGATATAATGGACGATCCCTATAAAGACAGAAAAGGCTAAATGAATTCAGACTGGTCAAAACCAAAGGAGTTAAATGGGTCAACAAATTTAAATAAAGTTTCCAGGTTAGGGGAAAAAAAAGCTACCGCTAATATCGGCAAACAATTTTATAGGTGGGAAACACATTAACTGCCCACGTACGGCTTCAGTCTTCACAGGGGCTCATTAGTGTTGTCATTCCATCAGAGGAAATAAGGTCAAGAACAGGATGCAGCTGGACGAGGTGGTGCATGCCTGTAATCCCAGCACTAAAGGGCTGAGGCAGGAGGTTCACCAAGGGTTTGAAGCCAGTGTGGGCTACATAAGCAAGTTCAAGGTCAGTCTGGACTACACAGTGAGACACTGTCTCCAAAAAGAAAGAAAAAAGAACAGGATGTAGTTCTGTTATCCTAGCTACTGAGAACCTAAAGCAGGAAAACTATAAATTCAAAGCCAGCCTAAACACCTTAGTGAGGATGTAGTTCAGTGGTAGAGCACCCCTAGGTTCCATTTCCAGCACTGCAAACAAATGCACAGAATTCTTTCTATTGTCTAATAGGTTATACGCAAATGTGCTCCTGGTGATACAAAATAATGGGCACCAGGCATGGTGGTTGTGATGAGAATGGTGGTACATGCCTATAATCCCAGCACTCAGGAGGCAGGAGGACCACTGTGAGTTTGAGGTCAGTCTGAAGTACACAGTGAAACCCTGTCTCAAAAAGACAGAAAAAAAAAAAAAAAAGCTGTGAATGGTAACACAGGTCTATAATCCCACTACTTTCAGAGAATAAGGCAGAAAGACCACCAAGTTTGAGCTCAGCCTGTACAATATGGCAAGACCTTCTCTTATAAATAAATAAGACAGAAGGTCTTATGTTGTACAGGCTGGGCTCTCAATAAATAAGACAGCCCCTTCATGTAAGCGGCCTGAGGTGACCTGTGAAAATGGTTTACTACTCTCTTGATCCAGAAAACCCCACAATATCATGCAAATTGAGGGGTTCAAACCTTTGCGTTCACTTTAAGAACACTTGTGAAACTACCCAGGCCATCAGGGTATGCACGTCCGAAAGGCTACCAAGTATTTGAAGGATGTCACATTGAAGAAGCAATGTGAAGTGAAATAAATTGGACTCACATGTGTAGACATCATGTTGTCTGCCTAGTGTAAGAACATGAAAGAATAAGTGGAACTCAAAACATGCAATAGATGTTGGGCAAAGGAAAGAAATTGCTCAAAAGAGGAAACAACTGAGATGAGGGAAAGAAGAAAAAGAAAGAAAGGGAAAGGGGCTGGGGATTTAGCTTAGTGGCACAATGCCTGCCTGGCAAGCATGAGGTTATGAGTTCGATTCCCAGTACCGGAAAAAAAAAGAAGGAAGGGAAAAAATATATATGCATACAGAAGGATGGCTGGGATAACTGTACTGCTGATGTCTAATGGTTTACTGAAAGGAATTAATTAATTCTTTAGTTAATTCTTTCATTAGTTAATTCTTTCATTCTTTCCTTATTGACCAATTTTGCATGCTTATATCTGCTAATCTGAACAACTACTTTGAAGAGAACAATATGCAACATAATAACCGTTGTTGAAATCCTATCATCTTGTTTGGTGAAACTTTGCATTGTTTATAATTTGTTTTTATTTTTTATTCTCTTTAATGGTTTGATTAACCTTGCATTCTTACATCTGATAATCTGACCAACTTCGATGAAGATAAAAATATGTAATAACCACTGTTAATCCCTAGCATTTTGTTCTGAAACCCTGTACCATTGTCTTTGCTCTGCTTTGTTTCTATGTTGTTGACATTTTGCTATTGTTCTTTTTTTAACTTCTCTTTAAAATAAAAAAAAAAAAAGCAATGTGTGCCATTCCAGCATTACAATGGTGGAGATGGGAGGTGTGCCCAGGCCAAACAGTGAGGCTGGACACAGGGTCGGTGGCCCAAAGAGTGCTGAATTTTTGCTGCACATGCTTAAAAATAGAGAGTAATGCTGAACTCAGGGGTTTAGATGTAGACTCTCTGGTCGTCGGACATATCCAGGTGGACAAAGCATCCAAGATGCACCGTGGTACTTATAGAGCTCACGGCCAGACTAACCCATACATGAGCTCCCCCTGCCATACTGAGATGATCTTTACTGAAAAGGAACAAATTGTTCCTAAACCAGAGGAGGAAGCTGCACAGAAGAAAAAGGTATCTCTGAAGAAACAGAAAGAAAAAAAAAAAAAAAAAAACTTATGGCACAGGAATAAATTAAGCATAAAATAAATGCAAGTAAAACAAAAAAAAAAAAAGACACAGACAGACAGATGGACAATATAGCTCAATGTGAAGACCTTGGCTTTAACCCCAATTCCAACACCACAACGATAGGAACATAAGTGAGTTCCCAACATTTCTTATACTTGAGATGCCCCAAACTCTGCCACAACACATATGCACATATGTACAAACACACAGCCACCCACAAGCTACAGTTTACACATACTGAAATCTGTGTTCAGAATGGAAGCTGGGGGCTGGGGATTTAGCTTGGCGGCCCAGCACCTGCCTGGCAAGCACAAGGTCATGAGTTCGATTCCCAGCACCGGAAAAAAACAAACAGAACGGAAGCTGATGCGAGTCATATCCCAACCAGCCCCAAGCCAAAGGGTAGTATACACACCCTGGTCCCACTTTAGCCTTCTCTTCAGTCGTCATGAACCTCCCTCGAGTGGACACAGCAGCCCCACTAAGTCGGCTGATCTAAAAGGAAATTTTTTATTGAAAAGATAATGTATATGTACCAAACATAATAATGTATTGAAAAGATAATGTATACGTACCAAACAAAGCATGACACTATAACCCATAAACACATATATTAAACCCAACTCTGATTTAGGACCAAACCCATTCAAATATTTGTGTCTCTGCTTTGTTCGGAGGTGTCTTTTACTCAATTCACCTCCCTCCTCTCCCAGAGTCACACAACCCTCCACACCTCGTCTTGAGTCTGTCCTCGGGTCAGCAAGTTCCTACACGTCAGAGGCACATCATTGATTTCTACTTCTGCTACCACCAGGTCATCCTTGCTTTTATTGCTAGTTAGGCCTTTTCCAGGGGCTTGAAGCTACAGAAAGAAAAATTAAAAAGTTTACATGATAATGTCTTTTAGTTGTCTGGTTTTCAAATATCCCTTCCCAAGTTCCACCACCTCCCCACCTTTTTTCCTTTACCTACCTGCAATATATTTTTATTGCTACACTTATAAGTGGAATAAGAGACATAAAGCCTCACCAAAATAACAATAAATTAATTCATCTATCTGATGGCCACCATCAGGTTCTTTGTAACCTTGGCTCTGTCTGTGTGTGCGTGTGTGTATGGCCACATCATTACAGAAACTTTATAAATAAAAAGTTCTATTTTATTTGAGACAGGGTCTTATTCTGTAGTTCACGCTGGCCCTGAACTCACTACGTAGCCGAGGCTGGCCTCAAACTCACAACAATCCTGCCTTAGCCTCCCAAATGCTGGACTTACAGATGTGTGTCACCATGCCGGGCCAGAACTTCTAATTTCTAAAAGGAAAATTAAAGGGTCCCAAGTTCTGATGTTTTACCGCTTGACTGGCTGTGCATGTAAAATATAAAAAGCAAAAAGAATGCACACAACCCATAGATCTCATACATTCAACAAAAACATTGCCTTTGTGTAAATCCTATAGCTACCACACACCCAACCCAACTAATTCATCCTTGCAATGGTTTAAAAAACCCTTAAACTGCAGCTAATCAGCTAGGCATGGTGGCGCATGCCTGCAATCTCAGCACTCCAGAGGCTGAGGCAGGAGGATCATTGTGAGTTTGAGGACAGCCTGGGCTACAAAGTGAGTTCAAGGCCAGCATGAACTGCAAAATGAGACCCTGCCTCAAAAAAAAAAAAAAAGAAGCTAATCAATCATTCCTTTGCCCTCTCTCATAGAAGAACAAAGAGAACGGATGAAAAGCCAGTCAGGCCTATCAGCCTGATTTGGTTCCAATTTAAACTACAAACACCTCCAGATAGCTGAATTTGAGTATCTGAGCAAATAGTACCAAGACTGCACTCTTGTTTGTTTTGTACCAGGAATCGAACTCAGGACCTTGCACTTGCCAGGCAGGGGCTGTGCTGCTCAGCTATATCCCCAGCCAGAGTACATTCTTGCAACTGATGGCTAGCAAATCTGCTCAAGAAAGGTAAAATACTGTTTACTTCCAGCACAGACACATTTTTTAACACATGAAAGTAAAACTAAACACAAACTCCACAGTATCACTTCAGCTTTATTCAGCCCCTTACAGTAGTCACTTACATATTTTATCTTGTTGAATCTTTATGACTACCATTAAAGATTATATCAACACTGTCCACCTGTACTTTCTATAATAATAAAGTGTTCTTGAGCCAGGCATGGCAGCATATACCTGTAATCCTAGTACTAAGGAGGCTGGGGCAGGAGGTACTCCAAGTTCAAGGCTAGCCTGAACTACACAGCAAGGGTTTGACTCAAAAAATTAAAATAAAAATGCAAGTGTTCTGTATCTAAGCAATTCAACAGGGTTGCCATTAGTCAGCGGTGTTTCCTGAGCCCTTCAAATGCAGCTGTGATTAAAAAAGTGAATTTTACATTATATTCTATTCACATTTACATACCCCACATGTGGCTGCAGATTATTGCACCGGACAGTGGAGGTACATATTACCTACGTGAAACACTTAAAAAGTCAAAGCCATATAGCCAGTTACTGGGCATTAGAGCTATAAAACAGATACTATGATTCTAAATATAGTTTTTATATACTGTGCTGCCTTCTATTGAGTTCAAACTATCATTTGAAAGATTACTTTTTAGAGAAACAAACATAAGTGCTGGGGATATCGCTCAGCAGCATAAGCACCTGCCTGGCAAACTTGAGGTCATGAGTTCAATTCCTGGTACCAAATTAAAAAAAAAAAAAAAAAAAGAGAGAGAGAGAGAAACAAACATGAATCTAAGAGATTAACACCAGTGCTAACAATATGAATATTCAGCCAGGCATGGTGGTGCGTATCTATTAATCCCAGCTACTTGGGAGGCTAAGCCAGGAAGATCACAAGTTCAAAGACCAGCCTGGGCAAAGAATATTCAGGTAGTACCCCACCTTTCTCAACGTGTTTATCTTTCCACACAGGCCTTACCAATGGGCAACCAGTTCATATGATCTTTGCAAACCATTAACAAGATAATTAATATTGCATTTTTACTCAAAATTCTGACCAACTCCGCAGAATTTTAGTATCTAAACATCCAAAGAGATTATGGTTTGCGGATAAACATACCATTGAACTAACTGGAAGGTCACTAAGCACTGCATTTTCTTTTTCTGATCGCATAACTTCTGCTTATTTTTATTAGTATATGTTTGCAGCATATAATGACTCCATTCATTGTGGGAAGTTAGTACCTATACATAACATACCTTCATTCTTTTCATGCCCCTTTCCCCCCTCTCCACCTCTTGGTTAAACACTGCATTTTCAAATGTTACTTCTTCAGGAATACTATGGGAGATAAATCTTAATTTAAGCCATCTGAATTGTCTGTGCCCTTGGAAAAATTATTTTATTTCCATGAGCGTAATTTTCCTGATGTCAAAGAATTTTTCACCTGTTACCAAGAATTTTCTTAATTTACAAAGCATACAATATAAACAGCCACTACATCTTTTTAAAAAATTTTTAGCCGGGCGTGGTAGCGCACACCTGTAATCCCAGCAGTCAGGAGACTGAGGTAGGAGGATCATTATGAGTTCAAGACCAGCCTGGGCTACAAAGTGAGCTCAAGGCCAGCCTGAACTGCAGAGTGAGATCCTGTCTCAAAAAAAGACAAAAAATAAATAAATAAAAAAATAAAAATAAAAATTTTTATATATTTTCTTTACTATCACTACCTTATAGTAAGACTCTTGCATCTCATGGCAAAGTAAAGGTTTTAAGATTTTAAGATTCTAATTATATCACTCATTTTTATATATTTAAAAAAAAAAACCAATGCCTTCACCATTTATATGAAAACAACAAAATCAGCCAATATAAACTGTACCTCCATTTTAGTGGGTTTTTTTTTTTTTTTTTTTTTTTGGTTTTTCTCTGGTACCGGGAACCGAACTCATGACCTTGCGCTTGCCAGGCAGGCCCTTTGCCACTGAGCTAAATCCCCAGCCCCTAGTCATGTTTAATTGCATTTAGTCATTAAGCATCTATGTATCCTAATTACAGATGACAGTTCAAAGCTCATGAATTACCTGAATGTTTTTTCTTTTTCTTTCCTTTTTTTTTTTTTTTACATTACTGAGAATTAAACGTAGGACCTTTGATCTGAACTCCATTCCCAGCCCTCCTTTTTAAATGAGACAGGGGCCACTCCCGGTGGCTCACGCTTGTAATCCCAGCATTTGGGAGGCTGAGGCAGGAGGATCATTTCGAGTTTGAGACCAGCCTGGGCTACAAAGTGAGCTCAAGGCCAGCCTGAACTGCATAGGGAGACCCTGTCTCAAAAAAAAACAGTAAATAAATAAATGAATGAATAAATGAGACAGGATCTGGCTAGTTATCCAGGTTGGGCTCAAACCCAATCCTGCCTCAACTTTCCGGAGTGAGGGGTTACAGACCTGCAACACCAAACCTGGCTGTGGACGTCTTTTTCTGATTTCAGGAAAAAAAGCACACGCATCCAAAGACATTACCATGGTTTAAATGATTACACGTGCACATGGAAAAAATAAGCTATTTGGTTCAAAAATATACAATCCAATAAAAATCACCTTGTAAAAATGTATGACAAAATACTACCTGAAATACTCCAAAACTAAATGATCTAAAAAATTACTGCACCCGTTCTCTACTTCATTAACACAAAAGATGATGAGAGTATAGGATTTTAAAAAGTCTACTGGCCGGGCATGGTGGCACATGCCTGTAACCCCAGCACCTGGGAGGCTGAGGCAGGAGGATCATTTCGAGTTTGAGACCAGCCTGGGCTACAAAGTGAGCCCTAGGCCAGTCTGAACGTCATAGTGAGACCCTTTCTCCAAAAGACAGGAAAAAAAAAAAGTCTACTGACACTGCAATTAGCTCAGACCCACTGAATACCTTCTCAGCAGCGTTCTGGGTTGGTTTCAGCTTCCCTTTAGCCATAAGCATGGCATTGATCTTGGCAGCCACGGCGGCGGCAGCGTCCAAAGCTCCCGAGGGAGCAGCGGCGGCTGCCCCTGGGCTTCCCCCGCTGCTGGTGACCTCCGTACCCGCCGCGGCTGGCGGGAGAAAGAGAAGAGGGGCGGGAGCGGGCTGGTCCCATTTGCTGCGGCGCCTACAGGTAGGAAAGGGAAAATGTTAGAGCGTAAAGCTTCATTTATGTAATGCTGCCCTCTCTGCGCCTTAGCATTCCTTCTTCCCTGGGTCGTGCTCCACAGCTGCCTCCTCCGAAGTATAAAATGTCCACCTCTCCCTAATCACATTTCCCCAAGCCCCGTCTTCAACCCTCTCCCACTTCCACTTCGTCCCTCCGTCGCCTTTAACCAAACACTCTACTCGATGTTGCACGACCTCGTTTTAGACTTCTCCTTGGCTCGCCCTTGTGAACTCCCCGGTTCCCTCCTCCCTCAGATCCCGCCGCCGGCCCTTTTCGGGGGCCTACGGCCTGCTCCACGTCTCCCCGAAGTCCGGCCTTCCGGAAAGTGCCTTCCTGCTCAAGGGCCCCGCCACCCGCACACAGCTTCCCGCAGGCCCTCCGCCTCTCCCGCGCCTTCGTGCTTGCTGCTACGCCCCGGCCCAAGAAGCTTTACCCGCCAGTTCCAGGATGTGTCGCGCTCCCCGCGGACATGGCGACCGGCTCCACTCAACCACCCGCCAACTACTCCACCAGCAGCTTCCCGTCACTTCCGCCCCAACTCCCGGACGCACAGCCTCTTCCGGTCGCGAGGCAGCGCGGTTCCGGCGACAAAGCAGATTCCAATTGGACACTCGGTTATTTAAAGGCGTTCGGCATTTCTAAGGCTGCGTAGGGTGTGACTTTCCGGTTTGAGCTTTGCCCTTTAAAAAAATGGTTGCTTGTCCAATTTAAAAGCGGACTGGGGAGCAAGAAGGATTCATCTTTGTTGTGGGCAAGCGGAAAGACTAGAAGACAATGCGCATGGATCGGAATAAACAGGTTTCTCCCCAAATTCATGTTCATTTGTGTGGAGTCCCAGCTTCAGTCTGGAAAGTCTTCTTATGGCATTTCCATACTTAACGTTTCAGTTACCTATTTAGGAAAGGGAATGTTTCGTTCCAAATGTCAACTGAAGAGTTCTGGTTTTGCTGGGTGTGGTGGTACACACCTATAATCCCAGCACTTGGGAGGCTAAGGCAGGAGGATCACAAGTTCAAAGCCAGACTAGGCTACATAGTGAGTTCAGGCCAACCTGAACTACATAGTGAGACCCTGCCTCAAAAAAACAAAAACAAAACAAAACAAATAACGCATATAAAACACACACACACACACACACACACACACACACACACAAACTGGTTTTTTTTTTTGTTTTTCTACCTCTGTATATCTGGCAGGGGATATAAATACTGTATAAAAAATATGAATAAGATGCCGGTTCTCCTTTTCTGCTACCTCTCATTGTAGCATGAGGGCAAATACATATTTATATGATAAATAAAAGTTGAAGAAGACAACTTACTCAATTTGGTAGCGCATTGAAGAAACGGAAGCTATGCTGATGTCTAATGGTTTATTGAAAGGAACAATTTTTTTTTCTTTTTTTTGTCTTTTTGAGACTGGGTCTCACTATGCAGTTCAGGCTGACCTTGAGCCCACTTTGTAGCCCAGGCTGGTCTCGAACTCGCAATGATCCTCCTGCCTCAGCCTCCTGAGTACTGTGATTACAGGCGTGCGCCACCACGCCCGGCTTGAAAGGAACGATTAATGCCTTTTTTTTTCTTTTGACCAATTTTGCGTGCTTATATCTGGTAATCTGAACAACTAATTTGAAGACAGCAATATGCAATATGACAACCATTGGTGAAATCATACCATCTTGTCTAGTGATACTCTGTATCATGTTTAATTTTTTTTATTCTCTTTAATGGTTTGATCAATCTTGCATTCTTACATCTAGTAATCTCAGCAACTTCGTTGAAGATAACAATATGTAATGTAACAACCACTGTTAATTCCTATCATTTTATTCTGAAAGCCTGTATCATTTTTATTGTTTTTTATTTGTTTTGTTTTTGTCTCTGCTGTTGGTATTTTGTTATTGTTCTTTTTTTATTATTCTCTTAAAAAAAAAAAAAAAAGGAAACAAGCTAAACAAGCCAACTGAGGCTGGGAAGGTGGAGATACGCATAGGTTATGCAACACCCAGTTCTAGGGCCTGAGTATTTATTGCTGTGCTAGATGGAATGTAAGGGAGCGGATAATCAAAGGTCTTGAATACTGAGGAGCTTGACTCTGAAAGCCAGAGATTTCCAACATTTGCGGTATTCTGGAAATGCAAGGAGTCTTCAGATCAAATAAAGTAAGACACTACTTTTTTTTTTTTTTTTTTTTTTTTTTTTTCTGAGACTGGAGTCTCGCTATGCAGTTCAGGCTGGCCTTGAGCTCACTTTGTAGCCAAGGCTAGTCTCGAAATCACAACGATCCTCCTGCCTCAGCCTCCTGAGTGCTGGGATTACAGGTGTGCGCCACCATGCATGACCTTTTTGCCTGTTTGTTTGGTTTTTTTCTGTCTTTTTGAGACAGGGACTACTTTTCTTTTCTTTATTTCTT